AGCCTACCGCACAACGACGGGCCGCACGGATGCCCAGATGAGGCGCTGCGTCCCAGGGGACAAAACCCAGCAGTGGAAGTTTGAGTGGTAGTGGGAGGAAGCTAGATAGTAGCAGGGAACCTTAAGTGGCCTTCCGTGACCACAGTGCAAATACTGTAGCGGAGGTATGACCCCCGCTGCTCCCATTTCTGTTACTTTTCAAGTCTGCACTGAATGGAAATGGGGGGGAAAAAAAGAAAAGAAAGAGGTGTTGGAGAAAGTCACTTTAAGCCAATGACTCACCCAGTCCAGTGCTTTTAAACCTTTGTAAATACCTACAGAGGTGAGGTCTTTTTTTAAAGAACACCAGCTGAATTTAAGACTTTTTTTGTTGTTGTTGCTTTCATCCAAGTGCCTCTACAGCCAGAGTGGAGTACACAGCACACCTGAAGTGTCATTGCCGTCTCGGGGTTTTGCAACAACTTGAAAGCAGCGAGATGTGTAGCACACGAAGCAGTGCCTTCAAAGAGATTAAAGCCAGTTTCTTGATCGGAAACATGATCGAATAATGCCTTAAAGTGCAATTAATATTGATTATTTTTATTATGTCCTCATATTTGTTTTTAAAAAAAATTGTGAAAAAACAGGCTGCTGGAAAACGATGGATTAGGAATATAAGGTCGGCAGCATTTTGCCCCAAACCCGCTGCTTCCTAACGTGCTCCATCATGTGAGAGGAAGGAGCTGTGGTCATACTAGACTGCCTCTCAATTCTAGCTTTTGTCTATGGAGCTAGTTTCGTGGTAGAATACCTTCTGAATGAGATTGGAAGTATTTATTAAAGTGTATTTTGCCTCAGATGGTTTATCAAGTTGACACGGATGTTGTGATCTATTCTCCCCTGTTGTGTTAAATTAAGAATACCCTCTAAACCCATCTGTCACTTTGCTTTTGAGAACCTGTCATCCCTCACAAACCCGTGCGTGCCGAAATGAAATGTGCCAGTGCCAGCGTATTTATTTAGAGCTTTTTCAATTCTATAAAACTACAAACAACACTCACTAGAGCCTGTTTTTTGTTTAGTCACAAGAATCCTTAAAGGGAGCAGCTCTGTGCCAGTTCTCTTAAGAGTCTTGTGTGTAAGCTGTACTTGAAACTACATCAAAAACACTCCTGTTAGGCTTTCTTTTCTTCTTTTTTTCCACTCAAGACCACATTAGTGTTTCTACTGGGATCAAAGGACCAATAGATTCAGTGAAACTGTTGGTAAAATGACTGGTGAATAGCATTTTTTTTGCAATTCATTCCCACTGAATTACATTTGGTCTCAATGGCAATTTGAATTTATGAATATGTGATATTCAAACTAGTTGATAAATTGTGAGATGACTCCTTTTGTGTGTTAGCTTTGTAAATAATGCTTGGTTAAAGGGACCAGTAAAAACTACTGATGAGGCAAAAGGGAAGTTGATTACTTGATATGAAGAAGAGGTTGGACTGTTGCGGATCAGGAAGGATTTTTCTAAATAAAATGACTGCTGGGATGATTGAAAGAATAAAAGACTAACCACAAACACACATGCCTTTTGTTTTACTCGCCTGCACAAACAGCGCATTGCACAGTTAAACTGTCAGGAATGAGGAAGACGTTTTTTCGTTATATGAAATGCCAGGTGTAGCAAAAGGAGAAAAGTGTGAGCTGCTGCAGCTACACTAGGTGTGAATGTGTACTTTTTATTTTTGTTGTTGTTGTCATGGTATAAGCGACAACATGCATTTCACATTTGAACAACCAAAGACTGAAAAGCTGCTACTGCAATCTGCTGCCTGTAATCCACACAGCTCACCCCTGCACTCACGGACTGCAGCATTCATAATAATTTGGCACCACCTACTGGTAGCAAATCAGTACTGACCGCTAATGGCAGGCGACAGAGAAGGATCTTGATTGCCGACTGTGGAAACAAAACCAAAATGATATTAAATGTTCTGGCTAATATCTAGTTTACTTTTCACTCCCCCCCCCCTCCCTGTCTCTGGGCTCACAAATGTACACAAGCAACAATATGTGGTTTGCTCTCTCCGTTCTCATGTTTCAGTAAATCTAGAAATATTATGTGAGAATGTCATCTTTCATAGTTTGGGTGATACAATATTCATTGGTTACCTGGGTTGTTTTAGTGGTTTTCAGATATTTTCTACCATGCCCTAATTCAGAATAGAGAAAAAGTTGATGCCTACACCCAATATTTTCTATTAGTTATTAATAGAAACTGATCCAGGTTGAATTTTATCAAAGGAAAGGCCAGCAAGATGCCATCGGCAAACTTTGTTGTTCTATTTTTTTTCTATAAAAATCTTATTCACTCAGCCAGGTTTGCCTCCTGGAGGGACTTTTTGCCCCACAGCATAGAACCACTGCATTATATTTTCACTAAAAAAAAAATCTATTGGTACTGTATGTATGTTTTATCTAATTGCCGAGTGCTGTTGCAAAATGCTGGGTGAGACAGAGGGAGCAGAATAATTTAAAAAGGAGGTAGGAAACACGACAGCTGAAATGTTCAGCATCACTTAAAAGTCCCTGTTTTTGAAAGAAAAGCACGTTTGTTTTAATATTATATAAAACTGATCAGGAATTACAATTATTCATAGAATCATTAATCACTAATTAGTTAGTGGGGTTAGATTAATTGGTCATTCTAAATTGCTATACTTGTGAAAGTGGGTGTGAAACCTGTGACAGACTGGCGCCCTGTCCAGGGTGTACCCTGCCTCTCGCCCTATGGTAGCTGAAGTAGGTTCCAGTCTCCCCGTGACCCTGAAAAGGATAAGCGGAAGAGAATGGATGGTTCGAACAGTAATCATAAGTTATTTTGAATTGGATATCTACATAGGCATGCAGAGGACATCTTTGGTAAGCATCTGCATTGGTGTATGGAGGGTTTTTGATGTTTAGAGGCTGAATGATGACAATGGCCCAACAGATCTTATAATTATAGATGTAATAAATTTGGATATTCAAGATGATGTATCACTAATATATCCTTGGACCTTCTTACTTAAGAAAAAAACCTTTCCAAAGTACACTTATTCTAAGTATGTGGTATAAAAAAGCTAACAAAATAACAGAATACTCTTTTAAGGTAACACAATATACACAATAAAGCTATAGGATGCAACAAAGATAGGCAACTTTTAGTTCAGTGACAGCTGGGTGCTGTGTTTTCTTTTCTTTTAAAAATGCATTAGTCATTAGAAAACTCAGTCATGGTTCCTATGTTGTTTTTTCATCCACAGGTCCACGGGCATTTGTGTCACTTGGCTTTCATGACAAGATGTCGTGAAAGGCTGACAAGGGTGTGTTTCAACTGAACAGATCTTGCATGATAAAACCCCTGTAACTGGAACAATATGCAGTCTGTTTTCATGTGGTTGTTCCTATTGTATTCTAATGTACTGAATAAAACAAGCCCAGTTACTCCTACGCTTTAATGACTAATACATTCCCAAGATACACCCAACTATAATTTTATGAATAGTGTAATAATTAATGATCTGTCACAGACCTGAAAACAAGGTGTGACCACAAAAAGTGCAGATGAAATGACAAACTTTATTCAGTAAATTCATATTTTAAAATGTGGGATCATTAAAAGTAGCCTAGGGGGGAGAGGAAGCCCGGATCCACACCAGTCCTATAGGAACACACCATGCTAAAAAGATGCCTCCCATGATATCACATGGGGTGGCTGTAGCTCGGAAAGGTTGGTAGTTTGATTCCTCCGGTCTTAAGTATCCTTGAATGAGATACTGAATCCCAACATTTTGTTCTCAGATGTGTTCACTGGAGTATGAATGTGTGGGAATGTTAGAAAGCAAAAAAAGTGCTTGGTTGAAGTTGTATAAAACGCTACGAGTGTCAAGGAGAGTTGGAAAGTGCTATCTCAGAATGATGCCATTTACCATCACTGCAAAATTTAAAAAGTAGAAATGTATATACTGCTGCACATAGTGAAGGCCCAAGTTTCCCCGATTTCTCTCCTGCCCCTCCCTAGTAAAACACAAATATACTGATTAAATATAGCCTAAGCTTACTGGGTGATCAACAATACAGTCAAGTTGGACCAGTTATGGTGAGGTCAGAGCTAATCCCAGTCACTTTACAGGAACCTCTGTTCAAGTCAGCCCAAACCCCAAAGGTGCAACTAATAAGTGTTTTAATTTCCGTTTTAATATTTGCACCTATTACAGTAGGCTATCTATTGCATGGAAAATGTTATCCATCATCTCGTCCTAAATGAGAACGCCCTCATTCATGCACTCACATGAATGTTGAGTCTCTGACAGACACGACAAGGGCAGTCTACCGTGGTATATTACAACACTCCGGCTGACTTGTTACCTTCCCGTGTCTCTTTGTGGTTTTCACAATATGGGTACTCGATCAAACAGTGCGCCACTCAAATTACCTTCTCGCCTCGAAAGATCGCCTTAATTATTTAGCATTTTAATTTGCTTAAACATACATTTTGTGTCAGATTTCATCTTTCGTGTCAAGAGTTTTCATATCGGTTTCATTTGAGTGACAAGGGGCCTCGTATGAATGAGAACCTATAAAAAGATCACTTGGATATAGAAATAAAATGACTGCTTATCATAAACTTCATTTTTTCAGGCTTTCAAATTAAAAGCCTACAAACTATTGCAACGCTTTGTGACATAATATAAAGCAGTGGTGCCCAACAAACTCGAAAACTGAGAAATTACCAGAACCAATCTTTGATGATTAAAAAAATTGAAAGCGGAAGTGACTTATTTTACTTATACAAGCTAGTGTACCCCTGGCAGTCATTTTACGAATTTTTGAAGTCTTCGAACAAAAAAATAAATAAATAAATAATAATAATATCTGTGCAGTATTTTACGTGGCGTTATTCCGGGGTAGTTTGAAAGGGAACGGAGTTTTAATTTGATAACCGGAAACTAGTTGCTAATTCTGCTACTAAAAGTTGACTTGAACTTCTACTGCTGGTCACGTAAATGTCGTTAATCCCGGTTCCTCGATGGCACTTGATGAACCGGTTGGACACAAACTATATTCATAAAGACTTGACTGAGAACGAAAAAAAAAAACTTTTTAATTATAATATTTGATTTTCTCAGTGAGTGAACTGAAAAAAACAGCATACGAGGCTTTTGATTTGACCTAGTTTTCCTTTCCTCCAGCAGTTAGGTGGCTCACTAATCCGAAGAGATACTTGTTAGCTAATCTAATCTGAGTTAGTTAATCCTTTCCCTCTTCACTCCAGCAGCAGGCAGGGTAACGGAATTGAGGAGGAGTGACCACCGTTCTCCGTTTGACTGAGAAGACTCACCCAGTTTGGGGACTCTGTACGTAGATAGAGTTACACTTTGCCTGAACTATGGAGGAGAAACTTGGAAGTAGTCAAACGGAAAGGTGACGCGGCTGTGGAGTCTAGCAAAACCAACTTGGACAGCAAAGGTTGAGCACAGTGCAGCTCATCGGGGCATGAGAGCCTCCAACTTTGCGCCTTGCAAAGAAACGAAACGATGGCTGCATACGGAAGGAGGAAACGGCCCAAGTTACTTATTTTAATAGTTGGTGCCATTTTGCTGGGATATGTTACATTTTTCAAACGCAAGTCGGGGGAAGTGAGCTTGACGAACCGACGGGAAGTCACAGGAGAGGAAGAGTATGAGCTCCTTAAGAAGCCAGTCTACGAGAAGCCCCCCTTGGATTTAAACGCTCTGGGAGAACTGGGCAGAGCCGTGAAACTGAATCTGAACGAAGAGGAGAAAAGAAAAGAAGAGGAAAGTATCAAAGCGCACCAGATTAACACTTATGTCAGTGATAAAATATCACTGCACCGCAGGCTGCCAGAGAGATGGAACCCACTGTAAGTAACCTGTTGTCTATTGTTAGCAATGTTAAAGCCCAGATCTAAAGTTTAAAAGAAGCCTTTGCAGTTTGGATGTCCCAGCAACACTATTACACGGCTCAGTAAATACCTCAGAGGACGTGTAACTCGTAAACTGAGTCATCTGCTGTTAAGATGGAATAATAAATGCTCTGTGTTTACTTCTATTGGTCATCAAATCTTAAAAGTATGAAGGTTAACCACGATCCAGCTTTACATGCAAATTTACACAGCCAGCTCTCATTGTGCAGTGTCATTCCAGCCACCCAGCCTCACCTCCAATTTTTTTAGTCTGCATTCTAACAACCAAGTCTCCTCTCTCTCCAGCTGCAAAGAGCTGAAGTATGACTACAGGTCCTTGCCCACGACCTCTGTGGTGATTGCTTTCTACAACGAGGCCTGGTCCACCCTGCTGAGGACTGTTCACAGTGTGCTGGAGACGTCTCCTGACATCCTGCTGAAAGAGGTGGTGCTGGTGGATGACTACAGTGACAAAGGTAGAGGCACAGACAGACTGATGGACAGGCAGTGGGCAAGAATGGTGGCAGGCTGACAGTCAGGAGCTGTTACAGGTGCACACAGACAGGTAGCAGTTAGATGGGTGGAGGAGGATATACTGACATGTTATCAGTTAGGCAAGTCAAACAGAGATACTGGAAAATATGCTCATCGAATTATAAAAAAATACTGGATGCAAATTTTTGTGCTTTGATTTTTAGTTTAATCCACAACTCTATAGCCTCAGTCATCATAATGTAAGTAGTTCAACTTGGAGGCGGGGTCTGTCCCACTACACAAAGCGTTGCTCCAACCACCAATAAAACTTTCGCTGGAAAAAAGCCGGTGGAAGTCCTTAATCAAACCTGTTCAACAGGCTTCAGCTTAAAAAAATACGTCTGTAAACCAAAGAAAACAAAAACAAACTAAACCCTTTCATTGTGTTCATGTGCTGTATTAAACTCACATTGTATTTGAAGAAAACATTTTGTCTAATGCAAAAATAAATGAAAAGGTATACATGCAAAAACCTTCAATCTGGGTTGGTCTTTACTCCGTCTTTCCAAGAAGACAGAGTAAAAACTGATTTCTGCCTTAGTTTAGCTTAGGTGACATGTAAACCTTTTATTTATTTACATTTTGATATTTGTGATTATTTATTTTCGCACTAATGAATATGTTTTCTTTAGCAAATATGACTTAAATATGCCGCATAAACACGATGAAAGTGTTCTGACAGATGTTGTATCCAATTAAATTATTAAAAATATTGGTTTCCATTTGTAATAATATCAATGAGCAAATAAGCAAGTAGTAAGTAATTATTATTGCTCATTAGTAAGACAAAAAGTGTTTCTCATCAATCAGTGGGTTAATCAGCAGAATACTTGATTACTAAAACAATCAGTAGTTTTAGTTATAAACTAAGATATAGATCAAGTGAAATCTCCTGCATCAGTGTTATATTTTTTACATCTTCTATGAGTATATTCAAATAAACCTATAATAAAAGTAAATAATATACTATATGCAGTGTTTATTCCTGTTGGGGTTTTTGTTTTGTACGAGTTGAGAAACTTTTAATGCTTCTAAAGTGTTTTCGATCATGAATGTATAAATGAAGCAATGCCTACCTCTCCCTCAACACTAACATCTGCTCGTGGTTATATTTACTTACTAAGTGTTGAGCTTGAGTAAATCAAACAATGATGTAACTTTCGCCTTTTGGATTAATGCGTATTTGGCTGAGAGCATAAAAGGAAGTAATTTTATCCTAAAAAGACTGGTGGGTGTGTCTTGTTTACCTGCTTCAAAGAAAGCTCACCATTTTCTAGTGAATATGGCAAATGTGTATCAAACAGTTTTACTCTCTTTCCTCTAGAGGTGGGAATTCGGAGCCTCTTCCAAATGCATTGGAAATGTGTGCCAGATAGCTTATCACCTTCTTTTATCAATGCTGACTTGTTTTTCTAACAGTCTCACGTTGCGCTGTGACGCTTCTGACACCTGAGCCACATGCCAGCTTTGTCCCCTCTCAGATTTTACAATGTGATTGGACTCAGAGATAACAAAACGACTGTCTGTCTGTGCTTGCTTTTTATCCCCTCACATGGAATACTGATCGAGAAACGCTAAAAAATTTGACCTATAGGAAGAAACTTCCAGCTGTAGCTGATAGATTTTTCTCTAGTTTTGTATTTGTTGTGATTTTGAGAAACAACTCTTGATACAAACACATAAAAAAAACAACCTGATTGTTTATTTTGGTTTATCTGCTCATCTGTTTATTTTCTGAAAGCTCATCTCAAGGAGCCACTGGACAAGTACGTCTCAGGTTTGAATAAGGTGCGTCTGATCCGGGCCACAAAGAGGGAGGGGCTGGTGCGGGCCCGGTTGCTCGGGGCATCCATCACCACAGGCGAGGTTCTGACCTTCCTGGATTGTCATTGCGAGTGTCACGGCGGCTGGTTAGAGCCCGTGCTCCACAGGTGAGAGAGCGCCCGCCAGGGAAAAAAAGAAATGCCTTCTCTCCTTGATTATTTTGTCAAAGTGCGGCCTTTAGAAAGGCTGTCTTTTAGTCCAGCTGTCACAGAGTGTGAAGCTCTGAATCTCTATCAGCCAGCTGCAGGAGCACTGTTATGTAGCCGTGTCTGACTCACTGTCTCGGTGCTCCAGCCTTTCAAACAAGGGCAGCACCAACATTTGTATGGAGACTTTTATAGATAAACAAATTGCTTGCTTTGTAACACTGCTCCCTCCTAACATTCGCCTTTTTCTCCTTTCCTTTTTTCTCGCCAAGGATCAAAGAGGAGCCGGAGGCCGTGGTGTGCCCCGTCATCGACGTGATAGACTGGAACACCTTCCAGTATTTAGGCCATGCTGGGGAACCTCAAATCGGAGGGTTTGATTGGCGGTTGGTCTTTACCTGGCACACCATCCCCGACTACGAACAGAAACGCCGACGTTCACCCGTAGATGTCATCAGGTGTGTTTTAAGGACTCTTTATTACCCAAGAATAGAAAAAAATCCCATATGAGTATTTGGGAATGTAACTTTGAGTGTGGCAGCTACATTATTACAGAAACTACACTGCTGACATATTGAGATAATTACATCTGTCTCATATAAGATGGAGCTCGTTATCCTGTAATATAATTTTTATTTTTTGGTGTCTTGAGGTCTCCTACTATGGCAGGTGGTCTGTTTGCTGTGAGGAAGGACTTCTTCCATTATTTGGGAACATATGACACAGGAATGGAGGTGTGGGGAGGAGAGAACCTGGAATTCTCTTTCAGGGTAAGAGCTGTGTGTTTTCATGGACATATACAGTATTATTTATGTAATGATAACATAGGTAAAGCACATGTTATGTCCAAATTGACATTAAGTTTGCACTCCTTTTGGGATTATGGCCCAATTCATAGTGCAAGCCACTAAAAAAGGCAGGAGTGTCTGCTTTAGATTTGTTGAACCATATGACAGCTGCTCAATTTATGTGGAATCTGCAATGAAAATAAAACTAAACATGGAGTGAAAGCAGGCCGAAGAGCTTAATACTTTAATTGCAGCAAAGAATTTAAACATCCCTTCCCTACAATAACTGTAATTTCCCAAAGGGAAGAAACCAAAAATATTTTCCAACAACAGGCTAGCTTTTCTGTTCCCAAGCTCCTCTGCAGCAAGACTGTGCTTTGTTTCCTGATTGAATCATGGCTGAGAGGCTAACCAAATCCTCGTGGTGGTGTTATTGATGTGTCTTAGATTTGGCAGTGTGGGGGCAGCCTGGAGGTCCACCCGTGCTCCCACGTGGGTCACGTCTTCCCGAAAAAGGCACCTTACTCACGGAGCAAAGCGTTGGCAAACAGCGTGAGAGCAGCTGAGGTCTGGCTGGATGAATACAAGGAGATCTACTATCATCGTAATCCCCACGCACGCCTGGTGAGTGTGTGCAGATGATGTGAATGTGAAGGCAGAATATTTCTTTCTTTCTCTTTTTAAATAGCTGCATTCACCACAGCACTGTCTCATTAACCCCTTCATTTCACCAGTGAACTCACTCTCGGTATGCGAAAAAATATCAAAAATACTCTGCCTTCTCCCAAAACGCGCTCGCACACAGGCACGCTGCAAAAGCTCACCTGATTAAGTGACACGGGGGATATTTGAGCAGCAGACACTCAAGGTGACAGGGGTCAGGGCATTCCGGTGTGCGATTACCACCTTTCTGTGCTACTTGGTGCCAGCGGGTGTCACCCACCTGTCCTTGACACGGTGAGAGCAGTGCCGACCCATGGGGGTGCCCTGATTTTGTGTGTGTGTGCGTGAGTGATAGTGTAGTTAACAGGAAATGCTCTCTAAGCACAGATCAGGTAGCACTTATCTCCATGAGATAAGGTAGCCTTGCCAAAAAATTCATCATACCCTCCAAACAAACACTGTTTTTGCTCATCCTGTTTGATTCACAGCTGAACATGTGTTTATACACAATAACAATACTAGATAAGGTTTATATCTATAAACGAACATATCTTACAAGGAAGTTACAATTTTACAATTTTGCTTGGCACAAAGTTATACTAGTCTCCTGGATGAATGTACTGTGCCTGTTTATAGTCTGTAGTCTGTCTTTGCCCATTAATGTCATAGCTTACCCAGGGGTGTGTGTATGACTGCTTTGATTTTAAAATATTAATACAATTTAATTAATATATCAATATAGAAATCAATAATTTAACATATAAATATTAATATGATATTTATATTCTTTTTTAAATCTGAAAAAGCCTTCAGCAACCTGCGTAATTTTAACGTCATATCAGATGAAGTTAACAGTTCATCTGCATATTTAATTTTAGCTTCTGTAGCTTAACTGTAGATTTTTGCTAACTAAAACAAGCAGGAGTGTATGGGAGCAGCTACAAAGTTCTCTTCTCACACTGGAGCTTGTTGAATGTTTTTAACGGAATTCCTGCATCTTTTTCCCAGTAAAGGTTTTTCTGGTGATTACAGAAATGAGCTCGAATCATTGCAGCCCTGCTTTGTAGATTTTGAACAAAATAACCTTAGACTAACAAATTCATGGTTGCTTTTTTTTTTTTTAAACGTGCCTTTCCCCTGACATTCTGACAGCCTGTGACACTTTCACTCCGACACTCCCAGACAAAGCAAGAAATCCCCAAATCAAACCAAAAAAAAGAAAAAACAGTCAGCAGGCAGTGAGATCTGGAAGTCTTTTAGGATTTGTAGAAGGGCTGGTCCATGTGGCTGTCAACATGGGTTACGTGCCGGTCCATGTGAGTTATTTTTTATAGCTTGTTAATTAGTAACAAGGCACCATAAAACCTAAATAATCTACATATGAAATGGTGCAGGGTGAAGGAATGACTGAGAACTGTACTCAACTGAAGGGGCACTCTTTATTAACACTGGATGATTGAGGGGAAAATCCGGGTACTGCAATCGTAATTAAGATATGAATTGATGTCGTTAAATTTTGGTTTAAGTTATGAGCTTCCTAGAGATCAGTTGCAAACAACGACAGGTCTAGAGACGCATATTTTTCACAAAAAAGAGCAAATATATCCTAAATATAACTAAAAAATATAAATATGAGAAATTGCAGCAAAACAATTGTTGCAGCAAAAGCCAGAAAGGACAGCTGGCAAAAAAAAGGAAAATGCAGACTGAAAGTTAATAGGCTTTTTAATCACTGCCTCATTAATAAGGCATGGATATGCTGACTGTAATTATAGTTGTGTATTCTGCAAACTAAATGTGTCGCTTAGCTGTATTTTAATAACATGTACAACAAATTTAGTCTTAATCTTTCAGCTTCAACTCTCCTATGAGGTCAGCAAGTAATCTACCAGGATTTAACACTGTCTGTTTTAGGATTTACTGTATTTTGCTATATAGAGGCCTAGCAAACCATGGATTGTCTTTGAAATTGCTTCGTCCTAACAGGATAGAAAAGACTCAAGGAATTAAGTTCCCGACACTGAACATTTGTAATCCTCATTGATGTTCGCAGAGAAATCCAGAGGGCCATCTTCCTATAGATGCACCAAGCTTCACAGGATCTTCTAGGAAAGCTGATGCTATTTTTTTTTTTTAAAGAGAGTATACTGGTTACTAGGCAGTGAGCTCTGGAAGTCATACCTAAGGCTACAAAGTTGCTGTAGGAGTTGCCTTTAAAAGTTGGCTAACTTGCTTTGTAGTACAGCCCTCTGGAATCATTAGCTCTTGTTTTCCACCGCTGTTTCACTAATTGGCACCTCTGTGCTCTCGGTTCCTAGTTGCTCCCTTAGGTCGTTTCCTGTGACCGTTTATTCATCCATATAGGTTGGACTGTCACTGGGCTGGTTGCCCTTACCTTTGCATTTTATCAGGACCTTTACTGATCCTTAATTTAAGTCTTATTATCCTGGTAAGTGTCCTGGACTAGTCCTCATTGTTCTGATAGTCCATGCTGGTCCTAGCCATTGACAAAGCACTGCGTCCTTTGGGAATCTTTCTTCTCACTAAATAGACTGATGAATAGCCAATTAGAGCTGTGTTTGGGCAGGCCACCATCATCCATCATCCTGCAGTGCTGCTGAATCTTTCTTGCAGCAGGGAAGGTGCGGTGAGCATATGCTCACTGGCACATTAAAGTGGAGACTGTGTTCTTTCTCATAATCTAATTAACTAGTCTTTATCAGTGTGATGTGTACATGTGTAACTTTGTATGCATAAAAGTGTTTACACAGGCACGAACTGTTTGCGCGCACACACGGAGACTCTTGTAAAATTGACACATGTATCCTGTTTGACTGTTGGAAGTTCTGTTTGTTTGAGGGGGAGCTATTGTTTGGAGTGAACTGCATTTGTATAGAGTAATGGACCATAGATGGTGCTATTGTATTCCATTTCAGGCCACTGGTATATTATGAATACTTCATCGGACACAACAGCTGTCTGATGGTGGCTGCATCGACACTTAAAATTTTCATTTGAATATGAGATATCACTGATAATTCATTTTTATTTTTATTTTTTTATAAATGCAGAGCAATTCTGTGCTTCTTAATTTTATTTTAGCTTGCCAAGGCAGAAAAGTGAAAATAAAATAATCATGTTGAACTGTCATTTGCCATGTTTGTCTCCAGGAGGCCTTTGGAGATGTAACGGAGCGGAGGATGCTCCGAGAGAAGTTGGGCTGCAAGAGCTTCAAGTGGTACTTGGATAACATTTATCCCGATATCCACGTCCCACATGATCGGCCAGGCATGTTTGGAATGGTGAGAACAAAGTAAGACCTTATGAGCTTCTGCAAGCCAGGTTGTACCACTACCTAATTATATTTTGTTGCTGCCTTTTGCTAGCTTAAGAACCGGGGCAAGACCAACTACTGTTTTGACTACAACCCTACAGATGAGAATGCGGTGGTGGGCCAAAGGGTCATCCTCTATCTGTGTCATGGAATGGGCCAGAACCAAGTAAGTAATGCCAGTGATACAGAAAAAGCACTTGCATCTTCCTTTGCTGAACAGCTCACTAAACTTAAAACAGGTTTACAAGCTAGTTTGCTGATTAGCTACTTGGTTACAGCCCATTTTCAATCATGTGAAACCCAGCTTTCAGTTAGATTTTAATTGAATGTTGGTTTTTGAACACAACACACTGTTTGCCCTTTTATATGTGAGCTTCGGCGATCATTTGTTTACTCTTGTTCAGTTAATCCTGGCACTCTTGAAGACTGCCATTAATCAATCTAATATGAATGTCCTCTGAGCTATTTGAAAAGAGAAAAATAATGTTTGGAGAAACACAATTCGGACATTTATTTCTCCAAACATTCCAAACAAACAAATATTGTCTCCATCATCTTCAGTTGGCACAATTCTAATGATTGAGAGGACACTCATGGCTTTAAAAACTGACCTTACAATCGTGTTTGTCAGTCTTTTGCCCTTTAACAGCTTCGCTATACATCTCTGATTTATTGACCTAATAAATGCCTTCTGGACCCTTTAGATCAGAGTGTGGAGCCCAGCTGATTTCTCTCAGGTCAAGGCTTGTAATAAAGGCTGATTAGACTTTTGTGAAAAGAGCCTTCGTACTATCTGTGTATAAAGAGTTTTGTTTTTAAAATCTTTTGGAAATGTGTGATATGTTTTTGATTTAGTGTTTTATTTTATTGCCTCCACTGTGCTCAGGTTCTTTGGCCATATTCTTAGTTTATTGGCCCATGTCTGGTTTTATTTAGTTTTGTAAAGCACTTTATAACATTAAGTGATCATTGTCACACCTTTGGGAGGCATTACTGACTAGTTAAAGTTAATCAGATTGCTTCATGACCACTGTAGTTTATGGGTTTGTCTGCTTGTAGAGCGACTCTTCTGGGTTCCTGACTATTATCTACAACTTTTGCATCCAGTGGCATTAATGTGTACCAGCACATTTGATAGCAATAATTACAAACTGCTTTTGATCTCCGTGGCAGATCCATTTATCTCCTTCCATGTCTTCTCCTTCTGTTCTTCACTACTCCCTGTTTTACATTTATCGTAGACAAAGGTAATCATGGATATAAATAGCATCTCAATTTCTTTCAGATTAAACATATAGTCATCCTATTTCCTCTCGGACTACAAGAATCGTGTTGTGTACTCTTACAGACCTGGGAATAATGAATATCATCTGTTATTCCAGGCTGCAAAATTATGTGATGGCTTTGTTGATACAAAGGGAATTCACATTTCCCAGTGCCTTTTCCTTTGTGATGTTCAGTAATCCAGGAAGCACTGTGAAATTTAGCATTGTTATTCCAGAACATCTCTGTGGACACAAACTGATGTTATTATTGTAGAAAGTGGGGATAGCTGCCTTATGAGACTACTGGGCATGCTACAGAGACGAAACACACGCTCAAGCCATCTCTCTGTCCTAAATATAGATCCCTAACAGTGCCATTCTTCTGTTTTAACTGAATTTAGGCTAACTGAAATTGTTGCATTTTTTGTATTAGGAACACCATGCTAATGCTTGGTTGGTTTGCCTTTTGCACTCAGAGCTGCTTTAATCTTTTGTGGCATAGATTCAACAAGGTGCTGGAAATATTCCTTGGAGATTTTGCTCCATATTGACATGACAGCATCAGACAGTTACTGCAGATTTGTCAACGGAACATGATGTGAATCTCACATTCCAGCACATCCTAAAATGTGCTCTATTAGTTTGAGATCTGGTGACTGTGGAGACCATTTGAGTACAGTGAACTCACTGTCATATTCAAGGAGCAAGCTAGAAATGATTTGAATTTCAACATGGCACATTATTCTGCTGAAAGCAGGCTTCAGGAAGATGGTCAGAAACGATACTCGTGTAGGCTGTGATGGTACCAAAAAAGTATTTCCTCCTATTAATATGCCACCAACAACAGCCTAAATTGTTTATTCAAGGCAGGGTGGATCCATGCTTTTATATTTCTGTTTCTCTGACGTTCTGTTATCTTATTTTGGTGAGCCTCTCCGAATTGTAGCCTTGGTCTCCTGTTCTTAGCTGACAGGAGCTGCACCCAGTGCGGTTTTCTGCTGCTGTAGCTCGTCTGCTTGTAGGTTTGAAGTGTTCTGCATTCAGAGATGCTCTTCTGTATTATAAATTTGTTGTAATGACTTACGCCTGCTTTCCTTCAGCTTCAAGCAGCCTCTGCCATCAACAATGCATTTTCATCCAGAGATTTAGTGCTCACTGGATAATTTCTATTTTTTATATCATTCTCTGTAAACCCTAGAGAGCTGCGTGGGAAAATCCCAGTAGATCAGCAGTTTCTGAAATAATCAGACAAGCCTGTCTGACATCAACAACAATGCCCCGTTCAAATTTGCTAAAATCGCGTTTCTTTCCCAATTTTGATGCTCGGATTGAACTTCAGCAGATCATATTGACTTCGATTAACCTATGTGTCTCGATTGGCTGTTTAGATATGTGCATTAACAAGTAGTTTAACAGGTGTATCTAATAAAGTGACCCAGTGACCCAAGTTGTTTTGTCTCATCCTACAGTTCTTTGAATACTCTGTGAATGGTGAGATCTCTTACAACACAAGGGAACCTGCTGGATGCATCGCGGGTGACAGCATCAGTACCTACTTGACTGTCCAGCTGTGCAGAAAACGAGGGCAGCCTGTACCTTCAGACCAGAAATTTGTCTTCAAAAAGGTACCGTAAGATGTAAAGTATTTTAGTCTAGTGAGTTTCTGTGTTTATCCCTATCTAAGTCCACATTTTAACTAATAGTGTTAAAACGGAAATTAATGTGGTAGCCCTGAAGTTGCAGCATGTCATTAATTTTTGAGTTGCTGTCTGGAAGAGAAGATGTGGAATATAAAATCAAAGTCTAAAATATAGTTCTTTGTTGAATTTTCTGTTACATTTTGTTGATTTCAGATTTCTACTTATTTTCCTTTTTGAACTGCCACTAATGTTTTAAAAGATGAGCACCCAACACTGAATTAAATGATTGACTCTATAGTTCCTCACTCTTACAGTGACCTTTTAACCAGCCACTTAGTTTCTCTTGTTCCATCAACTATATCTATTATCCCTTCAGAGAGAAAGTAGTACACACTGTACAACTCAAATTCTGAAAGTGCCCTAGGCTTTTAACAATACATGTCATTTTTTCTGTTTTTAAAACACACTGAATTCAAATTTATGTTTATGTTTGTTTCAGATGATAACTATATATCTATATCTATATCTATAGATAGAGATAGATCGATAGATAGATATTAGGGGTGCAACGATACACAAAATTCACGGTTCGGTTCGATACTTTGGTGTCACGGTTCGATATTTTTTCGATACAAAAAAA